ACACATAACACCTTTACCTAGCTGACACAGAATTTCGTATAATACCTTGACCACACAGTATATTATTGTTTACAACATGTTGACAATTTTCTGACAATTAAGGTGACAACATAAAAAGGGTTGGACAAATGACTTCCTCTCGTTTTAGTTGACACTTGCGTTTAAAAAAACTAAACCAATCAAATTTACCCCTGACCTCTGTTTGACCAATCAAAACTGACAGTAATTATAGTGGGCTAATGTCACACTGTCCACTTAAACTGTTCTGACCATTAATTTGCCCACCAAGAAATTTTCAAAACTGAAAATGAAAGTAATTTAAAGTTGATAATAACAGTATTGGCCCTAGGCTCATAATTTCATGAACATCTAAAATTACAAAGGCCAGAGATCTTCATTTAAACAAGAGCATTAACCATTTCATAACACATGAGATTGTTTATGGTATCTTATGTAACATCTAATGGAATACAGGATGTATTATTGAATGTCATGACATAAATTTTTAAATGATTAAATCTGTGTCATGTAGTGGTTTCATCTGTGTCATGTGCTGGTTTAGCCTGTGTTAATTTATTATGTGTTATGTGCTGGTTTGTAATGTGTTGTATTGTGTCATGTGCTGGGTCAGTCCTTGTTGGTTTATTATGTGTCATGTGCTGGTTTAGTCTATGTTGGTTTTATTATGTGTTATGTGCTGGTTAAGTCTGTGTTTGTTTTATTATGTGAATACCTCACTTTAGTAAATAACCAAGCTTACCTTGGTAGAACCACATACGTTCTGTGGGCTAGCTTGATTCTTCCCTCATATGACAGTTCCCTATTATGGACATGCGTTTATTCCAGTCTGCGGCCATAAATTACAATCTGCATCAAAGACTTGAAACAAGTGCCCTTGGGCAAGATATATGTTGTCTAATTATTCATGATAGCAATTTGTTTAAAATGTATTGACATAAAGTTATTGGTAACTGTCAGAGTATGATCCATTTATCACCACTTATCTGCTCCTCAATCCTTTATAACATTATCTAACATATATCTACTATATTCACATACCCTACAGACATCCTACTTGCATAATAACATAATACCACTGGCTCTTGTTTTTCTTTGCCGATTTAAAAACGTGATATAATGATATATGATATAATCTTTCATGTACTTGTTAACTTTTAAACACTGTTATAATCTGATATATGTTATAAATAAACTGCTGTCCTTATAGGAAGTTAGTTTAAATCATAATACTAATTAATGGGTTATCAACAATGGATTTTTTTTTACAAATGTTAAGTATTTGTTAATTTATAAAATGTCATTAAGGAGACAATCATCATCTGTTATACATTGATAATCTCCTTGAAAGTTAAATCAGAATAACATAAACTCCAAAATTATTTTATTATATCAATTGTTCAAATGATTTTATTAATTCATTTACCCATACAACCCTAAAGCCTGGACATTAAGTGAAAATGTTATAATTGTTACAGACCAGTGCAGACAATGTCATTTCAGACGGCACTGATCAACTGATCTTGGTCTGCACTGGTCACACATTGGGTAGAATTTGAGCCGCTTCACGACAAAACCAAAGTAATGCGTTTGCGACCAGCATGGATCCAGACCAGCCTGCGCATCAGCACAGTCTGATCAGGATCCATGCTGTTCGCTATCAGTTTCTCTACTTGTAATAGTGAATGTAAGCTAACAGCATGGATCCTGATCAGACTGCGCGGACGCGCAGGCTGGTCTTGTTCCATGCTGGTCGCAAACCCATTATGTTGGTTTTGTCGTGACGCGGCTCATTTGCTGCTATCTGAAAGCTATAATTGGGGGAAATTCATCAGAATATTCATCAAACTTAACCACCTAAAAGTAGCCAAGCAAGCGGACAGATAAAACTCATCAACAGAACTTTATCTTTTGGATCACAACATCCCCTGACAAAGCAAAATAAGTTTATTATTGCCAATTTTGCTAGATCAGTAAGTGATTTTAGAAGTAAGTCTCATACAAACATGTACATGTATACTATATTATATTTTTGGGGTTGACTGCAAAACTGCAGTAACCTTATATGAAATAAAAGAAGGACTTACAGCAGTTTTGCGATCAACCCTCAAATTATTTTGCATGCATCAAGTAACAAACATTGTGTACACTATCATCTCATTACTATATGAAGTCAATGATTATCCTCGGGCAGATATATTTACTTTTATTATTGACAATATGTGTTCATACAGTTGTATGATGACACAATCATGGTGATGGATCTTTAACTTACACTGCCAATTTACAGACAACTGAGTGTAAGATCACCTGTAGGACACCTACAAAAAAACTTACTTTCTTTTTACCTTTAATGTTAATACATAATTACATTGTATTTCACAATTTAGTAAAGTAGTTTGACAATCTCAGATGATCCCAAATGCCTGTTAGTTTTAAATTTCTCCTATCATATGACTATCTTATTAGTTGTTTGTCAATACGGCTTGTTGCATATAAAATTATTACATTCATTTTCCATTTTGAGGCACATTTTGTATCTGCAAAAACCTTGCACCATAAGCTACATTACTGGATTAAATAATGTGAAAGCTAAGAATCTAATAATAAAATATTGATAACAATAGAACAAAAATAGTTATTTTATTTGTTTGAAGACTTCTATCCATAAACCTACATCAACAGGTTACAAAAAGTGATTTACAAGTCAATTTTACCAATATTTACCTAATTTTGTATGGGTTTTCTTTTTAAACAAATTCATTTTACCAATGTTTTGGTTTTGTTTTTAAAACAAGTCAATTTTACCAATGTTTCACTCATTATGTATATGTTTTCTTTTAAAACTAATCAATTTTACCAATTTTTCCCATTCTATATGGGTTTTCTTTAAAAACAAGTCAATTTATAAACGTTCGCTTTTCTTTTAGAACACCAATGTTTCACTCATTATGTATTGGTTTTCTTTAAAAACAACACAATTTTACCAAGTCAATTTTTACAATTATTTCCCCAACAATCATGCATGGGTTTTGTATTTAAAAACAAGTTTATTTTTATCAACATTTCCCCCATTATGTACAGTTTTGTTTTTCAAACAAATCAATTTTAGAAATTTCTCTCTCAATATTTTAAAACAAATCAACATGAAAGTCTCATATTCAACTTCAAACAATTAAATTTCATTTGAAGTTTTGCTGATTCAAAGCTAACTTGATTAAAAAACAACTTCAATCGTTTAAAAGAAGAAAAGAAAACATACCAAATCAGCTTAAAATAAGATTTTGACTGATTGAAATTTTCTTCAAAAAATGCCAACATGAAAGAAAATTCAAATAAATACTTTAACCTATCATTTATAAGATCGCTTGCATTTTTTCATCCATCTTAAGGCATCAAATATACATATATCAAATCATAAAAACACACATTTGCATACCTTTCGAATTGAAGGGACAATTTAATATCTCTGAAACTTTATCCAAACACTGGGTGTACTTAAACTCTATTAAACTGAAGGCTTCACGATCATTTCAGTAAGCGTATCCAGTCAGACGCTCTTTTAAGATGTGTATCTTCAGTAAGTATATAATTGCATGTCCTCTCTCACTGTGCAAATTTTATATTCGCTCAATTTTCAACAAAGTTATTTGTGATCTCTCCCCTCATACACTGTGAAATTGTGACGCTTTATACCTGCAGGCCATATCCAATGTTTAAACATTAAAAAAATCTGTTTTTGAAAGTTTTTTTATTGCAAGTATAAACAGGCGAAGGGTAAAATCTAAATTGATGTCATCAATTTTCTTCCTTAATTGATATTTTATTGATATGCTAAAATGATTCTGGCAGATTTAAATTGGTAAAAAAAAAATATCAATTTGATTGAAACCAACTGGAGATGGTAACATCAGACATTTGCAACACCTAAAATTATTTTATGTATCATGTTAAACATTAGATAGCCTGTAGTTTGTAAATATTACATTTTAATATCAGTTTAACATATCATAATGAAAAATATATATTGAAAAAAAAAAAATATTTTCATGTTCATAAACATGCTCTTTACAACAAACAAGTGTTTCTTCTCACTGAATTGGGCAGAGGCCTTTGCCACTTGATTTTGGGAAATTTTGTCGCTAAAATTGAAAATTTGGGAAAATTTGTAATTCCAGAATTTAGGAAAAACTGTATGATTTTAAAGAAAATTCCCATTAGGAAGAGGCGTTTTATTGGCATCTATTATATAAGGTGAAAAATCCCTGCAAACTAAATAGCAACAATGCATGATGGAAACTTTTTTTTAAAGAGGGAGAGAGGTGATAATATTTAAATTTCGTAAACAAAATATCATGAAAAACCAAGAACTGATTTCAACAGGAATATAAGAATATTCAACATTGAATGACTCTGAGTTTAGACTTTGATAAGTTTAACACCCTGTTTTAAAATACTTAACATTTTTTATGTTATTCTAGCAAATAATATTAAATGTTGTACAAACCACACCTTTTTTAATTATAATTTTGACTTCATTTTGTTACTCACAGATTGTAAAATCTTTCACATATCACAACACAATGTCTTGGACACCACATTAAATTCTGTATTGTGGTATGTATTGGACAAGGCATTTAAATGCTAAAATTCTTGCCACTTTACCAGCTGTAATGCAATTTAAGACGTCTTATTTATCTCTTCACACCGATTTATATACGAATATGAAAGAAAAATGTAAGAATCGGCAAAAAGCAATTTTTTTCTTCTTTGTCATCATGATTTCTGCAAACGTCTAGAGGTATTGCTCCACCACTCTAGTGAGTTAAATCAAAAGAAAATACTTCTTAGCAAATCCTTCAATATTCTATGCTTAATGAGGGTTCATCCACCGTTTCAGGCACATACAGTACAGACCCCCAACATGTCATTCAGTTAAGAAGTGCTACACATACAATATCTTATATTAAAATTGATCTTACCTCATGTAGAAGTGTATTGGCCAGTGGATTGTTGATTACTATTGCTGGGCTGGTAGCTATTAGGTCACCAGTACTGCCATTAAAATATTTGAAACACACCTTTGTTTTCTCTGAAAATCAAATATAAAATATGAGCCGCGTCACGACAAAACCAACAAAAGGGGTTTGTAACCAGCATGGATCCAGACCAGCCTGCGCATCCGTGCAGTCTGATCAGGATCCATGCTGTTCGCTATCACTTTCTCTACTTGTTATACGGTTTGTAAGCAAACAGCATGGATCCTGATCAGACTGTGCGGATGTGCAGGCTGGTCTGGATCCATGCTGGTCGCAAACCCATTATGTTGGTTTTGTCGTGACGCGGCTCATATCACATGAACAAAATTATAGTGTTGAGAAAATTATACACAAAAATTCGCCTCCATTACATTTTAATCCTCCTAAACATACATGAACTATTTCAGCATAGGGATATTCCTATAACCAATATTTTTGTGGTGTTTTATCAAAAATGTAGTTATTTTACAGTCACCAGCCATCGGGTATGTATAATCAACTATAGCAACTTTTCTATTTTTACTTTTTCTAAGACTATCTATAGTTTTACCTTTTTCTTGTTTAATAGACTATTTCAAAACTGATTACCCTTCAACTACAGTATTGAGACAGGCCAGCCTGCACATGGCACAATTTTTGTATTTTGATAAATATCAAATGGACTTTTCCATTTTCAAAGCAGGGCTAATCCATTACAGAAATTCAGCAGGTAAAGAATTAATGTATTTTGAATAATAAATGTTCAATATTACTGCAGGACTATTTATATTGTTCATCAATGATTGAATATTTACCTTGTTCTTCAATGAATGTAGTGAAAGCTTTACAAGTTAAATGCTGCATATGCAAATATAATCACTTAATACAGATGCATAAAAAAATCATTAATAACCTTGTAGTCATTAAAAAAAAACATTACTTTTTTGTTGCTAGTCAGCTAGGGTTAAAACATTTCTTCTTGCATGACAACTTGTGACAGTTTATAGTCTGTAAATTTCTATTTTTGAACAGGTTACATTTCACAGATAAACTACATCAAGAGGGCAAAAGGGAGGTAACACATGCAGTAAAAATTAAAATTCAAACATTTTTGCTTAACAGATTTATTTACCTGGAATCTTCAAAAAACTTTCACTAAAAACCTAAGGCTCTGTGGCAGGACCAATTGTGACCTGAGATATATTTTAAACAGCTTTGGTAGGGGACCCCCAGATGGCATTACATGTATACTATATACCAAAGCCCTGGGTCTCTTTTTTTTAGACAAGAACATTATTCTTAATATGCATTTTTAAAACACCATTTAGCTAAAAAATATATGTTTCAAATTTACCGTCAGTAAAGTAATGGCTGACAACATCAAGGTCCCAGAGTAGTTCCCCTTTCTGCCCACCATTAGCACCACGTGTTTTACTATCCCAGAACTTGGATTTGTTTGATTCACCTGTAAAATCAAAGAAAAAAGTTAAAAGTTTAATATTGTTTTTAAATGCTGCAGGATATAAAATTTTATTATCAAATTCAAATCCTGGTTTATGTAGTAAATCCATCTGGCATCATGTAGGATTGAAAATAAAACAACTAGTTTATCCATCATGTTTTCAACATAGATATTGTGTCTCTAAGATTCACATACTGATAGACAACAGATAGCCATGACTCTTGTCATTTTTCACATAATTTTACAAAACCATTTTTGGAAACAACATGAAATAAATTTATATTAATTTCAAATTATGATGATAGATATTCCTTCAAAAATTTTGATCAACATCATTATGTCCAAATTTAACAATAAGCTACATGTACTTGGTAATTTTATTCTCCAAAATCAAATAAAAGTACTAACAACAAGTGCATTTGTTCATACCTATTGGAAATAGACCAATCCAGTCATCTGACCCGCATTCCTCTCGCACCTTCCAGCTGACCTTGATCTTTGCCCCGCTACCAATGGCGAACTGGCGGCCACATACATTAAGAGTGGATTCAGCATCATCAGCAAGAGCTGCTAGGTTCGAGTCACTACTACTTCTCTCCGGTAACTCAAACGTTTGATCGTCATCAAAAAGTGGTGTCCGTGGCGACGGTAAAGACAGGTCGTCTGCCGTCACTGACTGAGCTGATTTTGAACTAGATCTTCTAACTATTCCTTCATGGTCATTCATTTCTGCAAGTCATACTTTGGCCTAACACTGTGTCTTTTAGATGTATTTCCCAGGCAGAAATATCAATCATAAACAAACACAGGCATTCTCTTAAACATAACACTTTTATGTCGTATCAGTATACTTCACAATATAAACTTGTATATTTTATCAACACTAACATTTTGAACAATGGTATTTTTTACACATTTTCTGTAATATTTTTTAAATAAGAAATAAAAAATCAGGTATTTTTGATTACTGACTATTCACTGGAATATGTTCAGTGCTTCCAACTGTTAATCGATAAACTATCCCATATTCAGTTTTATTTCCTATTAATGGAATCTGGTGCACACATCCTGTAGATAAAACAGAAACATGATATTCAGTAACTGTTAAATATAAAAATTAGCATTATAATAGGAAGCTCTGCAATTTATATCAATTATACATTGATAGCAAAAATATTGATCAAACAGAACTACATACATGTGTGATTCGTTAATGGACGTTAAATTTATCAGACCTTTAAAACATTGCCCCTGGGAGCACAATAAAGCTTTAAGTCATATCATATTATGCAAGCAAAGCTTCAAATGCACATCATTGTATGATATCATCGACTGCTGTGATTATCAACCGATATTCAAACAATCATTTCCAGAAATATTTGAATAATCACAATTACAGGTTGAATGTAACATTGCACCGATCTGCTCACACAATTAAACCTCTTTTAAGCGCTATCTCTAATAAAATATTTGTCCTGTATCAATTACAATCCTCTAAACATCTTTTAAATGTGTATTGTCACATAATCTTTTAATGCCCCCGCAGTATTTGAGATTGGGGGGAGGGGGGCATATAGATTTACCCTGAATGTCTTTATCAAGCATACGAGAAGACATTTGTTGCATATAACAGTAAATTCCATTCATTCTGTAACTATTATCGGCTACTTTTATTGCCTAATTAGTTTATACAGAAGTTATTTTGGTTTGATTGTGTTTGACATTATAAGTTTATAGAAACATTCTCGAATCTGTTCCCGGAACCAACAAAGAGTTCATGTTTGATGGTGCCAAGGACTTAAGTTTGTGTCATAAAATTCATATCAATACACAGGACATTGTTTTACACATAAAAATAATGTTTGTCCTTGAAAATACAAGAACATGATAATGTTACTTTTTTTCGTCTTTTTTTTTCTGGTTGGGTTTTATGTTGCACCAACACACTCACAGTATAGATCATATGGCCATTTTTCAGCTTTACTGGTTGAGGAAGACCTCAGGTTCCCTTCCAAGTTCCGTGCATTATGTCCGGCACCTGTGTAGATCTACCTATGTTTCTTAAGCTAGCTTGATAGCATTCTGACATGACAGAATCAAAAGTCCCTTTGGGATTCTAACCTACAGCAGTCAGGGGATAATGTTACTTTCACTGCTAGATTGAACAGTTAAAGAATTGTCCTTAAGTAAAATTTAAAACTATCCATGATCAGACCATCTAAATCTAGAAGCAACAGTATATTTATATCAAATGCTTGGATGTCTAATTTGGCCTTGTTCTATATAAAATGCATAAATGAGCCAGTTGACCTCATCAAATGCGGATGTGTTACAATAGGTTGTCATGGCTCTATGTCAAAAATCCAAAATAGATTTATAACTCCAGTTTAATTCATAATTTGGCATTCAAGTTGCCGTTATTACAGGCGTCCATGACACAAAAATAATCAAACATCAGAAAGCACAGTTCTTGTTTTCCCCTATCATTCGACACATGCGTCATAAATGCAGTAGCATAATTTGTAATTATTGTTCTTGTTAAAATGAGAGTTGCGATCAATGAACATAAAAACTTGTTAGCTATTCATGACCATATTTATGAGGCTTTGAAAATGTCAAAGGGTTACTCCTGTAATTTTTTTTTTACAAAATATGTCCTAAATATTTGTAAAATCTTTATAAAAACACTTAACCTTTTGTTGTGAAGTATTAAGTTTAAATGTCAAGTCACAAAACAAATTTTAAATGTGGATTTCATTCAGTACTACAGTACATGTACTTGTATTGTGAAAGTCAAAATTCACAGAATAAAAACTGACATCAGTAACACTGTTACATTTTAATAACACTATTACATTTTTTAAACTAAGGTTGGCAAATGGATGTGAGGATTACCACTGCCATCTATAAAACACAGAAGTTTGTGTACATCCATTTATCATTACAGACAAAGTTTGATGCAGTATGGAATTTCTATTACAGAACTAATTTGTCTGACAAATATTTGACCATCAAGGATGACTTGACCTTGAGCCTGTACAGCAACTGCAAGGGTTCTGTACATAACCTTCAACAGGTAAACATTTGAACCAAGTTTGAAGAAAAATTTTCAAATGGTATAGTGCTTATTTAGAAGACACAATATTGTCTATAATTTTAATCAATTAAATCATTCAAAATCAGATTATGTGCAGTGATTAAAAAAAACTCCTTTGGATATATATGGATACATGTTTACCTCATATAGGCACTGACCACTCAAATTATACAGTAACACAATAACTTAAGCAAAATATAATGTAAAATATAAACAGTATACATGTGTAGGTACATTGTACATTGATATTGCAATTCATACTAATATTTCTTTCATTGATATGAATGCACACAGACAAGCAATGCCAAAATCAATACATGTGGACCACACTTAAATGTATCTTAGATAAATGTAGCATTAATAAACCAACAAATCATGTTTTATCATGTTTCACTGATTTAACAAGAGCAGTTGATAGGACAGCATGCTTGACTTTTCTCAATGCTTGAGCCTAGATAATGTATTTTTTAAGTTCAAAAAGTCCAAAATTCTGTCAAAATTCACATTAGTTAAGAACCTTGAAAAGTGACCCCATATAATGCTTTCAATTTTTATGTCAAATTAGTGTATCAACCAATTCCCTACATTAGTTTTGGAGAAACCAACTTTTCCAAACTGTGATGTCCATGCCGCTACATGCATGAGTATTACAGCTCTACATAGTCTTTGAAATATCAAAAGTCCAACTAATAATGAACTGGCCATCAACGAGCATTTTTAACCAAAATTAATATAGATATTACATATTCATCTGTTATAATTGAGAACACATTACTGTCATTACTAATGATATAAACGTATTTATAATTAAACTCAGCTCTGCATCAACCCTTAACACACAAAATATCTTCAGTGCACTTATTCATCTTTAAATCTGGATAAAACCATTCATCATATGTAAAGATTTTTTAATTATCAATAAACTGGATAGTCGACAGTGCATACCAGAATCAAACGGCAATGACAAGCTGACTGACTTTGGTCTGCACTGGTACCCAGAATGCTAAGGGTTAAAGCACATTTCCCTTTCACACCATGCAGACATTTTACAATTACTTACAGTATAGTATAATCAAATATCTCCAATTAAAGTCAGCATGTTCTGTGTCAGACTTTAAACCATTACTTACTGAGTAATAATTCCACGGCGACAGAGACACCTACATTTAATTCCATACAATGTTCATTATTAACTTTAAATAGTAAATCAAGGGACCAATTATCACAAGGCAAATTAGAGCAAAAGTCGAAGAACTTCCTGTGCTGGATCAAGTGTTTGTAAAACTACAAATGTAGTGGCCTAATTTTACACTTCACATCTAACGAAGAAGTATAAAAGTCTTAAAAACAAGAGAGTGATGCAATATGACACCCAGTATAAACATAGGGGCTAGGCCTCTCTTATCTGAACTAACAGTACATTGTAACTGATACATTATTATGCTACAGAGCTACAAAATTCTAACACAATAGGCTATTAATATTCAATACAATATGATTTATTTAAATTATTATTAGGATGAGAGAAAAGCAACGTCCTCATAAACACACCAGTGGACAGGTTGGGTGATCTTGTTACATTTTTTAACTTTTAACATATAAAGCCTTAATTTTATTTTATTTTTATTTGTAAAAGCTTCTTATATTTGGTATTGAGTTTCCAATCAAAAGCAACATTTGCAGTGTTAAGGCTCATCTATTTGATAACAAATTCTCATACATATTCTTCAATAACAAGCATGGCATGCAGTGTTAACACTTGTGTGTTGTGTTGACATGTTCTTATCAATATTTTTAATATTTTAACATGTCAATAATATTATGTATAACAGTAATAACTATAAGTTAATACTAGGGACATGACTGAAACTCCTAAAAATATTGCTTACAAATTTTTTTTTCTTTTTTAGGGAAACAGTGGCAGGACCAACCACAATAGCTCAACCTTTCTTTTAAACACAGTCACATAAAAATTATATAGATATTATTTATGTAGAATAGATTGCAAGAACTTTGTGAAGAACTGATGATTCACCCCATAACGGCTTGACCCAGATTAGAGACAATTCACCCCACTTTAAAACAATCATTTAAAATGTTGTTTAGGTTAGTTTATAGCTTCAATATATTGCGATATCTTGAAAAATGCAAATTACGAAACCACAATAGTGAAAAGTCAAAACAATACTTTTGAAACGTAAATACACAAAATTATATTGAGTTTTCACCATTGTGGTTTCATTACTTTAACTTTTTGCCCTTAAATTTTGTGTTTTTGTTGTTTTGAGTTATATATGTGTCCTGGTGGCACTAACAGGTCACTGTAATTTTTATACAAAGTATCACTCATTCACTGCCCTGTTTTAATTTATTTTATAATGTAATAAAAAGCCCTGGCACACAATTTGTTAGTCAAAATATATTGACATGCTAGTCCAACTAATTGTACTGCGCGACGAGATATTGCGCTATTTTCGTGTCTGGGCAATATCTCGCCTCTATATATTTTGACTAATTGACATGCCAAATCTTGATTCTGAGATATTTTCGTTCTGGTGCAGAATCTCCCTTTAGATGCGAGATATTGCCCAGACATGGAAATATTAAATAGCACAATATCTTGTCTCGCAGTACAATTAGTTGGACTAACAATTTGTTGGCTAGCATTTTTTAATGTTGAATAAATTATTTCCAGGGAGAAGTAGTTTCTCTAAGTTTAACATCAGTTACAGTACAAATAAACAAGTATACGTCTCCGTACTGCAAAAACCACAGGAACCTAACATTTAAGTAAAAATCCAGAGGAAACTAAAAATTTAGTTAAAAACCTCACATCCAGTTCCACTCGTCCACAGCAGAATGTTCTACCGCAACTTATGGAATAATTTAAGATTCCATCAACTTTTAACAGCATCGTAAAATAATGTAATTATAAAAACAATAAATGGAAAATATAAGAAAATCTACCATGATAATTCCGCAAATAAATCAAAATAGGTTTAATGCTTCATTTTAGAAATGTAAATCACACATCCACCATCATTTCTGTTGAGCTCTGGGTAAAAACTTCATTTCCGGGTTCATTATTTTTCGCGGGAGATTGAATGTTTACAATTATGAATTCAACACCAGTGGTATTTGCTAACACAAGGAACGCACTGATATTGTTAGGAGAAAAATTTAAGTGCCAAAAATGGTAAATTATCTCATAGATTGTAATGCATTTATTGAAGTCAGACTTATTTCGTCCGTCGGCCCACGAACCATCTCGGCCTTGTACGAACTCGACCCACGGTCAGTTTTGGGTGAAAAGAGGCTCTAGCTAATTATTTGAATATCTGTTCTTTAAAGGAATTTTAAATACAAGATTACTCAACAGTAAAATGATTAACATACAAGTCGTTCAACATAAACAGGAGATAGCTCCATAGAAAAGAAATTATGCCAGACTTTTTAGTTTCACTCCCCCTGGACATTTCACTTTATTCTTGCATATCTGACTGATGTTTCTTTTAGTTTTTAACATGCTTGAAATTTCATGAGGCATGGGGATTCTGATCGGAATATCTGCCCCTCAGGAACTATCCATGGGCAGTAACTTAGCAAGTCTCTTTTCCAGAGACATAGATAACATCTATGTCTCTGCTCTTAATCGCTCAATTGGAGGGTCCCCTTTGGATGGATATTCAGATCTGAACCGCAACATATGACAAATATTTTTAATCCTCAAACCGTTCACACCTAGACTTCAAATTTTTTCTATAGTGTCGACATATAGGGATCACTTTATGTGTCTGTCACAAAACTTGTCCGGACTGCTCTTCAAAAAACAAGTGAATAATCAGTACCTTGAAATCCAGATGTGCATTTCATCGGCATTTTCCGGTTGAATGATTTTTGTGAAGAGTTATGGCCCTTTAATGATTTTTATTTTTAAAGTCTGTCCTGACTACTCCACTTATACCACTGAATGCAATTTCAAAGAAACTTTACATGATTGATAGGTAGCTGAAGTGGAAGACGGACAAAACCCCACCAGTTAAAACCCCACCACTCAAAATTTTATAGAGTGGACAAAACCCCACCACTAAATTTTATACAGTGGACAAAACCCCACCACTCAATTTTACAGAGTGGACAAAACCCCACCACTACAGTTTTATAGAGTGGATAAAACCCCACACTTACCAATTATTGGGCAAGATTGGATGAATTAAAATATATATAATATACACATTTTTTTTCACATTTTATTTTTTAATTTCAATATAACATTTGTGTAATATAAGAATGAACAATTTTATTAACAATGCATGTACATCTTGCATGTGCAATATGCAAAAAAGGTGTTACAAACTGTACAACAAAAAACTTAACCTTATCCCTGAAGAACAAAACAGATTATTTATTGATGTTTTGATTGCAAAAAAAGGTGTTACAACTTGTACACAAAAAACATCCAAATCCCTAAAGAACAAAACATGATCACTATATTATATAACATTTATTTCAATAGTAATATAATACAATGAATGAGATTATACAAACAATTTACAAACTGTTAAATTAACATCAAAGAGTAGTCATTTATTTGAGACTGTGCAACATTTACAACCTTGAATTATCCATTATTATTTAAGTTTCTTCAAATTCATTTCTTCAATTTATTTATATAAAAAATAAACTGCTTACTATTAATCAAGAATATGGCACATTTTCATCAATTAATGATTAAAAATAGCACATTTTGTATAACACATTTCTAGTTTATTCAGTTGAGTCTATTTTCCTTCATTGTACTTAGTTTAAGCGGATACAGTGGCCGATTGCCTGAAGAAGTCTTCTCCTTATTGATGAGTTTTTTCACACATTCTTTTGAGTTTCTGCTGATGCACAATTGTTTGTTTTTTAACATGTTTACAAGAAAGTTTTGTACACTCTATAAAACTGAAGTGGTGGGGTTTTGTCCACTCTGTAAAATTTAGTGGTGGGTTTTTGTCCACTCTATAAAATTTAGTGGTGGGGTTTTGTCCACTCTATAAAATTTTGAGTGGTGGGGTTTTAACTGGTGGGGTTTTGTCCTACATTCAGCTGAAGTACTTGCGCATTATTACACAGGGTTTCTGCTTGAATGATTTTTGGCTGAGTTATGGCCCTTAAATAAAAATGGTGTTTGGCCTTTTTTAATGATTTTTGTGTCTCCTGCTACACAATAACTGCAACATGCAATTGGCTGACATCAGGCGACACGTGATCACTGATCGCTCTTTGTTTATTTTCAGTGGGCTTTTTGCTAGCAGTCCAGTTACTCTTGGTGGCTGTGAACATATTTTCTGCAAGTAAGTCCAGACTTTGAATATTAAGATCCAGGTAAAGTTGTTATGTATTAAATGCTTATGACATTACACACTTTAAAATTCGCAAGCCTCTTAAAAGTGAATTATATGTATCTAGTTGATATGTCATATATAGACAAAATTACATGTATAATATTCTAAATAACATTATCTTTAACAGTCACAACATTTTATTTTGTATAGGAAAACCACTGACCCATAATGCATATGCAATACGGTAATGTACACTGTTCTAGAGAGTTGTACCCAATTACATTTTAGAAGAAAAGCTTGTAGTGAAAACAGCATAATTCATTTTACTATTGTTAAAATTATCCTACATTATACAATTATTGACTAGTGAGCAATTGAATATGATGTGATATTCACCGGTAGATGACATATTGACCGAGGCGATAGCCGAGGTCTATATGACTTTCTGTCGGTGAATATCACATCATATTCAATGGCTCACTAGTCAATAATTGTTTTATTATATGAATAGGCTAAGAATTAAAAAAAAAATCACGAAAAAGTACAACCTTATATACATGTACAAATTTTGCCTCGTTGAAGCGCGGGAAAAAAGACGCACGTGCGAGGCGTGCAACGACTACGCGAACGCTGCACATACAAAAGTAATTCAAGTTTATACTCATCGATGCGGTTTAGCCTTTAAGTATAACAGTAAAGTAATGATATTTCAATCGAGAAATATGCCATAAAGAACAAAACGCAACATTTATTTTTTAATTAACACACGTAATTAACAGTCTACGGTGTATGGTCATTGAATATGAGTCTCAATCTATTTTTAGACTTGGAAAATCCAATTCAGCCAGTTAATATGATACTACACCCAGTGAATATGATTTTATAAAAAGTTCTGTTGACTACAGTTTGGACCAATGAGATTGCAGCTATTTTTAGATCATATAATAAGTACATATATTTAAGAATTGTAGTTAGTTATTTGTAGACATTTTAGCATAGAAAACATCCAATATATTACATGAAATTCATCTTCTACCACTGTTACCTGCTGCTGAAGACAATACATTTACTTTTAGCTCAAGACAATAGGTCAATCTGTTACATAAAAACTTATCATTTACTTTATTGAATATGAAACAAAAGTTCTAGGGGAATTAATGTATAGATATATTACAGTGTATGTTGTGAAGAGTATCTTGGATCAGCCTGCCCTGTGTGCAGTTTACCAGCTGATGTTAAAGATGCTGATGTTGACAGACAGCTATTTAACCTGGCATCACTATGTACTAGACTCAAACAGGAACTCGCTGTAGATGAAAAAGCATTAGATAATTTCAAAGGTTTGTACATTGTATCTTGACAGATTGAGTTAGACTGGACTCTGAATAATGATAATATGTTTATTTTAGCACAGTTTTAAATTTAATGAGAGAGGCCTCTGTGGCTGAGAGGTTTAGGTAGCTGATTTCAAATCATTTGCCCATGGCTTCACCACTGTGGATTCGAATGCTGTCAGGGACTGGATTCTTTGATGTGAGAAAGCTATCTAGCTAGCTTAATTAAGGTCAGCGGTTATACCCACTCATGCCTGAAGTAATGCGTAGTGCAGTGGTTTTTTTCACTTAAGTATAGCTGGAAAGTTGCCATCTGATTTTTATAGTTTTGGTGTGACATAAAACCCAACAAATCAAACAAACAAGTGTTATGAGAAAGCTTATATGATACTTTAAAGACACCTAGCTTTTTTCTGTTAGTAAAATCCAATGCTTTATTTTGTTGAGCATAACATGGGAAAATTATCTCATATAATTCCTCATGGTGCTTTTGTATTCTATAACAATAAATAAAAAAAATTTAACACTGTTCTATTTTCATAGAAAATGAAGACCCTCAAATACAGAGTACTCCAAATCAGCCAATACGTGGTGCATCAATGTATGAAACAACCACGCCAAGCAATGACCATGTGACGAATGCTACAAGAAAATCCGAAGCAAATCAGAAAACAGAAAATAATGAAGTTACCTCCCTTGCACTAGATAGTAAAACAAGCAGACGAAAAAGGAAAACAAAGGTCAATGGAAATACCAAAACTAGCACAGAGTGCTTGCAACAGGAAACAAAACCTTCTGTGAAAAAAAGTAAGCAAAAATCTGTGTCGTCAGATGCTTCGGAAAATGAGAATGTTCCCAGTAAGAGAAGAAAGAGTGTACCAATAGATCAGACTACAATGACTCAATTTTATGATTATGATGAAGATTCTGACAATGTTAATGAAGAGATAAAGATAAAAGAAAATGGAAGCAAAGGTTTAAGAACACTTAAAACCAATAAAAAACCTGTTACGTTACCAAAAACTCGACTAAGACATAGTTTAGATAGTAACATTGGTAAAGATTTAAAATCGGATACAAAGTCTCCATCTACAAAGAGTAAATCTGTTCAAAGGAAGAAAGGAAAGAAAACTGATAAAAATGAGAGTATATTGGATGTGTCACTAAGTGATACAGGGAGCATCGGTCAAAGAACACCTGTGTCTGAGAGGTCAAAGTTCACAAGAATTTCTACAGAGGCAAGTGGCAGCCCAAAGCTCAAAGGTATGCTTTTGTAGGCTTTATTTCAGGGACAAATTTCTTAGAGATAACATGTAGAGTTTGTGAACAAGTCATTTTAAGTAGAAAATTCAGTTTTAAGTGCTTAAATAACAAAATATAAAGATGTATATATGTGTAAAAGTTTTCAAATTATCATGGAAGAATGGAAATTCTTGAGTGCTTTTGGTGAAAAATATTGGTCCTGCGACCAAAGTCTTCGTCATGGAATCAGAAACACTGAAACTTCTGAATATATTTTTAATGTGTCTTTAAATCACATATTTCTGGTAGCTGACAGGTATTTCCAATCTTTTTAGCAAGTACACCAAAAGGAAGAAGGAATTTAAAACCACAAACAGCACAGTCACCTGCCTTGAATAAGAGAAATGCCAAAGGTGAAACTCCTTTACAGGTTGCTGCTATCAAGGTAGTGTAATACCATTACTATTTCTAAAATTTGGAACATTGTTTGGAGCTATTCATATCTTTAAACCTTACTCAAGTCTTTTGATTTTGTATTTTCAATTCCTTGTCACCACACTTTATTTGTATTTTATTATGGAATATAATATGTACATCCGTCCGGTTAGCACAATAGATAGAGCACTAGACTGTTAATCAGGTGATGAGGGTTCGATTCCTGGACAATGCAGGTCACTTTCGTTGTGATTGATCATGAAATCATTGTGATTGATCATGAAATAGTTTTTACGGTCATTAGCACTGTACCACTGCCCTGGCATGTACAGAAGTTATCAGTTCCTTGTGAAAGTACTGTTAAAATGCTTAACAGCATGCCCAGGTGTGATGCAGTGGCTGAACTGTTCTCTGGAAAATTCAGTGTGGCTAACTGCTGTGATCTGTAGTGAAAACTACCAACACCACCAAAATACATATTAATGTGTAATCCAGAAATAAGTTACAGGTGGTTCTTGAAAGGGACTCGACTAAGGTTTTTTGACAAGAAGGAATTGAAGAAAAAAAGTTTCTAGACTTTTGTATTATTGGATAATACAGATATGGGCTTATAGTTTGTGTGCATAATTTCACATCCTTCCCTCACTACGTTTATTCCAGAATAATCATTTTATTGTACTGTATTGCTCAAAAATTAAAAGCCTTGGAATGCTTTTCACTCATATTAAAAATTGATTTTCAATTTAATTCTGAGTATAATTTTTTTTATTTACTATTGAAGATTTGTTCCATTTAAGCAAATGATAAAAAAAATTGGAAAGAATATATGTAATTTAAAAGCTAAGATAACGTGAATGTTCTTACAGAATGACAAAGATAAAGTGAAACAACTTCTTGGAGATGGTGCCAATCCTAATGTACGAGATAATGCTGGCTGGACACCACTAGTAAGTAATGACAATGTCAACACTTAACTATTATACTTAACAATGCTGACTAGAAGAAATGCAGTCTTTAATATTATAAAAAAGGAGATTTTGAAGGGGCTATAGACTTGTTGGTTTAAAAAAAAAATCTTGATATTGTAAACTGTTTTGATGAAAGTAAACAAATGAAACATAAAAGGAATACATACTTGCCCAATCCTTAGCAACCTGTGCTGATATTCACATTTAACTCGAAACACTTGTTCTTTATCAAGAGCAGGTAAAAATGCCAAGCACTTGAACAGAATTATGTCTTTTCTATTTTCAGGGTTGTCATTAACATTTTTTGCAGAAGGTTTGTTTTAATCTTGAGGCGGTCATTTCTGTCTTTATCATGCATAACAAAGAGTGTTTTCTTAATTTTGAGGCGGCCCATAATGCATTTGAGACAGGCATTTTGGCATTTTGGCCTCCTGCCGCCTCTTAATGACAACCCTGTATTTTGCTTTAATTATACTACCAAGTACTGAAAATAAAATGGAGCGTTCATGGACAGGTCTTGTTATTCAGTAATAACAATTCAAATGTACCCCGACAGTGTTTGACAGGACAACAAGAATAAGTTAATGGTAAAATAATTGATGGTTTTGTTTGTATTTTCTTCGACATGATATTTTACAGCATGAAGCATGTAATCATGGTTATGTAGAGATCGCTAAGTTACTACTGGATCATGGTGCAATGATTAACATACCTGGACTAGAGAATGACACACCCCTTCATGATGCCATTAATAATGGCCGTGTAGATTGTGTGAAACTGCTGGTCTCTCGAGGTGCATCTCTCATTCTGAGGTAAGACTTGATTTGGTTTGTACAGGACTTTTTTTTTCACAAGTTGGGGAAGCTGAACCGCCCTTTATTTAGGGGGAAAATTAATATGATATTTATAAAGGAAAAAAAAATAATGTAAATTGAATTTTTGGGGAAAACTGCATGATTTAATAGAATGTTTCTTTAGGGAAGCCGCCCTTAAATGGCCCCTACTATAGAAGGAAAAAAGGGCCTGTTGTAAAATACAAGTTGCTTGTAAGCCTGACTATTGAAGAATAGAGAGAGCTATGATACCTAGACAACTGTTGTCAGCGTCACACTTTGGTTAAGGTTTTGCATGCAAGTTGGCATCTCAAAAAGTACTGAAAGGAAATCACACTTATTTGAGAGCATAATAGGAGGTTACTGTCCCAGGCCCATAATTCTATCATGGATTTTGACAGAATTTTGGCCCTTTTTGAATTAAGAAAATTTTGCATCATCAAGGCTCTTGTTTTACTATCAAGCACTGAGAATAGTCAAGCACTTTGTACTACTGAGAGCTCTTGTTCTTATATGCTTGTGGCGGCTATATGCCATGTGTAATGTTATTTACATTAAAAAAAGCAGATTTCCCTGTATAATAAAATTGTAAGTTAGAAATGTTACAATTTCAATTATATGTATTGGAAACGTATTAACAATATAATAGAATTTTGTCACTGTAACTCCCATGGTGTTCTATTTATTATTTTTGCTGAATGACTTTAAAGCTTTTTTGATAATATTATTCTTTAATGTGAGAAAGCTATCCAGCTAGCTTACTGATCATCAGTATTTGAACTCACTCTCATGTTGGTGCATGAAATAATGCGTGAAAGAGCACCACAGGTCTTCCTCCACCAGTAAAGATAATATGTCATATTATTACCTACACTGTTTTGATGCTACGTAAAACTTCAACCCCCCAAAAAATTATTGCCATCTGATAATGTCTGCATTGTTAGCTATTCATTTAACAATTTAGCATGGTCAGTATTAAACTGAATATAAATTTACAGGAACATGCATGGACAAACACCTAAAGACCTTGCTGTAACAAATGCCATGAAAAAAGCCCTTGACACACCAGTTATATCTTCCAATGAGACCATAACTAGCCAGGTTGGTTATTTTATTAGAATATATTTTATATATATAAAGCCATATGATAAGTGATTCCTATATCAAGGTAGTTTCTAGATTGACTGATATATAAAAATTAACTTAATAACCATTTAAGTAAACATAGGTACTTTTATACATGTATTCTTAAGCAAACAAGATATGCATTTTAAATTATTTCACAAAGCAAGTGAGAAAATGAATAAAAACCTGAATTAGACATTTTAATTTATCATTTTGGTTTCCTCAGTATTTTTTTTGGTTTGTGTAGGAAGTTATATGCTTATAAACACACTTTTGAATCTATTCCTGGAACCAACCAGTACTGAGCAATGAGTGTAAAGATTTTTGCTCAAGGAAACGACTTGCCCCTGAAAAAGTTGGAACCCAAGCGGCTAGGAATCACTAGATTTCTAGTCTGATGTGTTAACCACTCGGCCATGCCGCCACTTTATTTATTATTTAAGTTATGTTATTCCAATGGGTATTGGTACCTCCATTTTTTCAGAAATTTAAGTTTTGATGTAATATTTGATAGGGAGAGGATGTAATGGAGTATAAGATATCATGTTTTGATGTTACATTTTATAGGTAGTAGATGTAATGGAGTATCAGACACCATGTTTGACGGGGACAGGTCTGTCTAGAGAGGAGAAAGTTATTCTACAGAAGGCAGCGTCTCAGTTACAAGTTAAACTGATAGATGAAGTCACACCAGAAGGTTTGATTTAAGTTTTCATTCCAAAGCCATCCCAATATCAAACTGTTCATTAATTACGACAGAAAATGTTTATGCGGCTTGATAACTTAGAAATTTTTGTTTTGTTTTTCAAGTGAGACCAAAAGATATTTCACATAATGATCACTAGATGCATATGTAATTCAGTAATTATACATTAAATGTAGCAATTTTCTGAATACTTACTTAATTTGATCGTAAATAAAACCCATTTTACTTTAAAAGTTTTCATGTCATATAACAAAGTTACAACTTAAGTCAATGTATTTTCCTATCTGATTGCCCCTCGTATCTAACTAAAGGGGATAACAATTAAAAGAATTTGCATATTAAATTGTATTAAAAAATAAATTTTTTGTACTATTTCAGTAACCCATATTGTAACAATGTTTAACAATGAAGGAATGTGTCCTAGAACTATTAAGATTGTACAGGGCATTCTCCTTGGAAAATGGATCCTTAATATGGAATGTAAGTATCTTGTTTTACTATATTATTCAGTTTTGGCAAGTGAAAATGTATAGAATTTTAGTTTAAACATAGTTTGTTTCAAACTGTAAATATAACATGTTAGTAATACATTTACAATAAATAGATAAATGAATGAAAAAAAGGTTAAAATCAAAAGCTATAAAGCTTATTAAGGTCTTCTATATATTTGTACTAAGTAGTTAAATTATGACAGAATTTGGAATTTTATCATGTTAAGAGATTTTTTTTTTCATATTTCATGAAAATAAGAAAAAAAACACTTTATTTAATTTTACCTTGAAGAAAATACAATGAGAATTGTTAATACATGTAAGTCCACATCTTCAAGCATTAAGGTTACAGGCTTATAAACTATATACAATTTTACTATGAAAAGAACATCTAAATAAATACCAGGTCAACAAATTGCACACACGTCTGAAATTAATTATATTTGCACATGATTTTAAAACAGAATTAAATGAGCTTATATAATAAAAACATTTGTGGAGTATTTAAAGCTTTGCATCAAAATAAGTCTTGTCAAAGACTGGATTGTGAGGGAATGTAGTAACATAGAGTATGTTTTAGGGCTGGAGACTTGTACCCAGGTTGGAAGTTTGGTATGTGAGGAGGCATTTGAAGCACAGGGAACCAGTTTATTTCCACATGCTCATGCTCCATATAAAGGAAGAATGAATAGAAAGCAACAGGTAATGTACCAAAATACTTATGTTTATGTGAAGAGTTCATATACCGCCTCCGTGGTCGAGGGATTAGAGTCGATGACTTCTAATCCAGTTACCTCTCTGGCGTGGGTTCAATCCCGGGAGATGCTTTGGTAGTTTAGCGCGGAGGAAGGTAGTCTAGTACTGGTGTAACTCTCCAGGAACGATGGTTAGGAAACTACCCGCCTATATGACTGAAATACCGTTGGGAAAAGGCGTAAAATGAAACAAACAAACAAAAGAGTTCATAATTCTATCTTGGAGTGAGAAAAAATATGTTTTTCAGACAACCAAATTACATAACCCTCTGAAGTATTGTTTGAAGCATAGAACACTTGTTTGTTTTACCTTCACTTCCACCGGTATAATGCCTCATTTTAGCTCCAGGTTTTGAAGAGAAAATATAAATAGTAATTTCAACTGGGCTAAGTAGTTTTAGAAGAATTGCAAAATATTGTTTCTCCAAGTACAGCACTTGTTAGTTACCATAATCTCATCTTTATAAGAAGCTTGACTTTTCAGCTCGACTATTCAAAGAAAAGTCTCACCCAGGCATTTCTCACCCAGGCATTGGTGTTGACGTCAAGCTTTTATTAAGTTTTTGCATGCAAGTTGGTTTCTCAATATCTACTGGAAACTTCACCCAATTTGAAAGCGTAACAGGAGGTCACTGCTCATCGCCCATAACTCTCAGATAGATTATGATAGAATTATGGCCCTCTTTGAACTTAGAAATTTCTATTATGCAGGCTCTTGTTTTACTATATAGAATAAATGTAAGATTTCCAACAAAATATGACATTAATGTCAAAGGTAAAAGATTTATTTTTATTTTGCATTGCTTATCTCCATGTGCATGTACAAGTGTATACTGTCATGGTTATTGTTAACATGTTTGTAAAGTTGGATGACACTAAATTTTAAAACATATATTAACATTTTTTTCAGCTACCAGGGCTGTTTGATGGTTGCCACTTTTATTTTCATGGAAGTTTTGAGTATGCCAACCCAACAAAGGAGGATTTTATGAACATGGTGACAATTGGGGGAGGTAAACTGTTGACTCGAGAACCTAAACCAGGTCACCTTGACATTACTCTGACAGTACCGTATCATGCTGATGCCGTTAGTGAACTTGCGACATGCTGTGTTTATTTAGTTCATGAACCTAATGTAAACTATCCACCAATCAGAACTAAGCACATGTGTTCAGTTCCAACTTCCTGGATTATGGACTGTGTTGCCAATTTTAGTTTAATGGAATTACCAACTGTTACATAATGAATAAATGCATGAATGTTTGTCCCTTTTTGTAACTATGAAATAAAATTGTAACTATGAAATAAAATTGTAACTATGAAATAAAATTGATAGAATAAAGTCGTAAAATAGAGGTTTAGTGAATAATTCTTTGAAGTATAAAAAAAAATCTAGATAACAAATTCCACATACTGTATAAGTTGATATTTCCGCATGTTGAAAAATTAGCAAATTTAAAATTTCAGACATTTCACATGAGGAAATATTAGCGAATCTTGCACAAGTAGAATTTAATGACAGGTTGGAAGAAAAAATAAAGAGAAATATAAAGGAATTTATCTAGCATTGAAAATTGGCAGCTGGATTATTATAATACAGATCTTAACATTGTTGATTGTGGACAAGAAATTAGTTCTCTAAAAAATATTAAACAATTCATATGTATGTTGGACTTGGACCTACAGGGGTAAGGGGCAAGTGATTTGTAGTCAATGAGCTACACCACTTGGCCATGAATTCATTGACTACAAATCACTTGCCCCTTACCTCTGTAGGTCCAAATCAAACCATGGATTCTTTTAGGTGAAGAAGCTGTGGAGCGTCTGTGGTTGTACACATGCGGTTGAAATAATGTACAGAGGAGCATCATTTTCCTTCACTAAAATCACAATAAATGAAAGATTGAAATATAACCCAGCTGTAGTATTTCCAACTTTTATTTCTGACCAATGTAGTTATTTTATTTTTAAATATTAATCATATAAGAATACAGTTTATTACTATTATTTAGCTATAGTGGATGGCTCCTTGTAATATAAACAAGAGGGCCATGATGGCCCTGAAGTCGCTCACCTGTATATATATTCATTTGAACAAACTTTGTAAACACTTACTAGAAGATGTTTCATGCTTAATATCTAAACTCTAGCTATTTGGGTTTTTTCAAAGAAGATTTTTAAGTTTTTGCTATACACATATAAGGAAAATCAATGACCCCCAGGGCGGGGCCAATTTTGACCCCAGGGCTTTTATTTGAACAAACTTGGTAGACACTCACTAGAAGATGTTTCATGCCAAATATCTTAGCTCTAGCTCTTACGTTTTTTTAAAAGAAGATATTTAAAGTTTTTTCTTTCGGTTGCCACGGCAACCAGAGTTCTGCATGGAATTAAATTCTTTGAACAATTTTTAAAGGTGACCACCAAAGGAACATTCCTGTGAAGTTTGGATGAAATTGGCTTAGTGGTTTATGAGGAGATGTCATTTAAAGTAAAAGTTTACGGACGGACGCCGGACGAAAAGCGATCACAAAAGCTCACCCTGTCACTTTGTGACAGGTGAGCTAAAAACTAAACAAGAAACATGGCAATGCCATGAAACCAGGTTTTCAATTATCACCATTGTAGATAAATATGTTGTAGTTGAAATACAAATACAAGCAACAAACAATGTAACTATGTGCAATGTAAATCATGAATAATGTTGGAGGAATTGCACACAGAAGAAGTGTTCACTATATATTCTGTATAAGGGAAAAAAACAAAGGGCCATAATTAGGTCAAATATTATCCAATCACAAAACCCCGACACTATGCGCCAGGGCACTTGATGACAAAGCTTCTGTGAAAGTTAGAACAAAATCCATTGAGAAATGTAGGAGTTGAGCACAGAAGAAATTGTTCATTATATATTCAGTGTAAGGAAAAAAAACAAAGCGCTATAATTAGGTCAAATATTATTCAATCACAAAACCCCGACAATATGTGCAATGGGCACTTGATAACAAAGCTTCTGTGAAAAGTTTGGTCAAAATACATTGAGAAATGTAGGAGGAGTTGCGCACAGAAGAATTTTTCACTATATATTCTATATAAGGGAAAAAAAAACAAAGGGCCATAATTAGGTCAAATATTATCCAATCACAAAACCCTGATAACATGTGCAAGGGCACTTAATTACAAAGCTTCTGTGAAAGTTTGGTCAAAATCCATTGAGAAATGTAGGGGGAGTTGCGCACAGAAGAAATTGTTCACTAATATTCTATATAACGAAAAAAAACAAAGGGCCATAATTAGGTCAAATATTATCCAATCACAAAACCCCGACCATATGCGCAATGGGCACTTTATAAAAAAGCTTCTGTGAAAGTTTGGTCAAAATACATTGAGAAATGTAGGAGGAGTTGCGCACAGAAGAATTTTTTCACTATATATTCTATATAAGGAAAAAAAAACAAAGGGCCATAATTAGGTCAAATATTATCCAATCACAAAACCCTGACAATATGTGCAAGGGCACTTAATTACAAAGCTTCTGTGAAAGTTTGGTCAAAGTCCATTGAGAAATGTAGGAGTTGTGCACAGAAGAATTTTTCACTATATATTCTATATAAGGAAAAAAAAACAAAGGGCCATAATTAGGTCAAATATTATCCAATCACAAAACCCCGACAATATGGGCCAGGGCACTTGATGACAAAGGTTTTGTGAAAGTTTGGTCAAAATCTATTGAGAAATGTAGGAGGAGTTGCGCACAGAAGAAATTGTTTACGCCCGCCCGCCCGCCGACATACCTCAATCTAATAACCAGTTTTTTCCTTCGGAAAACCTGGTTAATAAAACAATGATAGTAGTGTTTTACATTGCATCATACAGCAACTTTCCAGCTTTTCTGGTGGAGGAAAATACCCCTACATGCATTATTTCAAGCATCTTAGATTGCCCTTCTTATATGCATGAAAATGGAATTGGTTGATTACCTTAGAAAAAGGTGTAGTTTAGTTTCAACTATATAATTACATGTATGTATCTTTGGCAAGTCTTACTAGTATCATGTTGTAAATGTATACCCTATTAATGAAGTGGAATGTAGGAATATCCTTGCCAGTCAAGTGGCAGTTCTAATTTTGTTTAGATAGAAATGTTGAATATGATTAAAACAGAACACATAGATTAAAACATAATACCAGGTACATATATTTATATACGTACCTGATAATACACATAGTTTATAACTTTATTTTGTAAATACTTTTCCTATCTGACACTGCAGTAGGTAATATTTTCCCTGAGGACCCCAGATAATATGCATTGAACTGATGATGAATATTATATTCATTTTCTCTATTATGTATCTCATGATACTAGTACTATATGGCAGTTAAATGATGTGAACCTTACTTGCTTGAACTTATAAAAATTGACCTTTTTCCGAGTTACATCATTTAATTAATATAAATATGTCTGAATACAAAAACATAACATGACAAGGTCAAGTAATAATTCTCCTGGTTAAACAGTTTTATAGTAGAAAGAAATCATGTACATGTATTTGCATGTTTAAAATAACAGTGTATATAGCTATAAACTAGCAGACTAAAGATTACAAAATTGTTTGAATTTTTATATCTGTTTACTGATACATTAATGTGAGTTTAATAAAAGATATTCTATGTTACAACTCCTGGAGAATCAATTATTTTAACATTTAAAGATGTAATAGAAATATTAATTATAGCTTTTATACCCTTTAATGTTACATACATTTATATTTTTATCACACTAATGTATCAAATTATAACTTGAAATTAATTAGATAAATGATGATAAATTATATGGTAGATAGAATTTAAGAGCAATGTAAAACTAAAAAAATGTTCACATGTAAAGAAGAGAATGAGAAAATAAGATTCTTGTTTCATTTTCCAAAGCAAGAAAATTTACAGCCAAATTTTGTAACATTACATCCCATGTCATTATCAATTCATGGAGGTTCCCTGATGCAGAGTAAACTGAACAAAACTTTTAAACCCTGACAAATTGTGATAGAAAATGCTCACTTTGAGTATTTGTGATCAGGACTAGAGGTTATAAAACTTTTTTTAGTTCAGTCTCAAATCTCAGAATTTTCATTGGTCACTGTACATTCTGTGACAGTTTCTGACCAATCAAATACCTGAGTTTGAGCTTGAAGAATTTCTTTATAACCCTTGGGCCTGGTGAGCTAAAATATTTGCCAAAGAGTTGTCTGGACAGCCATGGGATTGGGAACAACAACCTAAAATTTTTCTTCCAGAAGTCAAGCTAATATAGGTACTGTTCAGTTTTAAAACACACTTCCTGATGTCATCTATTATATAAGAAATGTCCATTAATGTCCATATCTCGAGTAGTGTATATAATGTTTTCGTGAATGTACAACCATACATGATACTACCAAATAAATGGAATTAGTTTTGCAGTATTTTTCACGTAAGCTTTAAATGCAGGATTATCTCCCCAGCGTTTCAATTGCTGCCGTTCCTGTAGTGGGATACCGCTCAATTTTAACAACAAGAATATAACAAATAAAGGTGAGATAACAGAGCCATATTCTATAGGTTTTGTCATAGCAGATGATGATGAAATGAAGATGCCCAGCCACATGCAGATTTCTCCAAAGTAATTTGGATATCTTGAAATACTCCACAGTCCTGTGGTGATAAACTTCCCCTGAAATTTATAAACATAAAAGTGTCATCTAATTCCCTATCTACATGTTTAAACTAGCTGTTTTGAGCTAATGATGAATTAGTATAATAAGAAAAACCAGTTTAAAGTCATTTCTGTTTAAAATAATCATTTTATGCATTTAACTAGAAATGTGTCCATAGGGAACTTACATGTATGCCCCAACTCTATTTGCTTTTGCACAGATAGTAGTAAATTTATATACATTTATTAAAGTCAAGTGTTATATTTACAAGGATCTTGAAAAGGATAGGGGTCTTTTACTTGCCAATGGTCATAGGCAATATCCTTACAAAGTTTCAGTAACTTATGTTTTTTCTCCTCTCAAGTTATTGACTTAAACAAGGAATTAACAAAACATCACTCTGCCCTTGACCTTTGACCCAATGACCTTACAATTAATAGACAAGAGCAAATATCCTACTTAGGTTAAACAAGAGGACCATAACAACTCACATGACCATAAAATCTCTAAAAGAAAAAGACCATTTAATATTGAAAACTATGAATGAAAAGCAGGTTAAAGGTCAAGGTCAACTGATAACAAATTTAAAATACATTTAGTGCACAATTAATATAGAACCTGTGCTTGGTCCTGGCACTTATTCTTGTCAGTAACCAATTTGCCAAAAAGGTTTTCCCATTCACAAAGTCAAAACAGTTACAAAACTTCACAAAGTTTCATTTCTGCCACAATGAATGTATTTTGCCAAGTCATTGCTATTTTTCAACATGACAATTATGTGCCCCTTTGAGGCTGAGGATTTAAGGATCAAGATCAGGATCAAATTTAAAAACTCTAATATTCTTCATTGTTTATCCTTATAGTTTAAATATCTAATATTAATTTGATAAAACTGGACTTGCAATAGCAATTTTATGAAATTTTAGAATAAATTTATTATTATTTCTGCCAGATACGGGCATTTTACAGTTGATCCAAATATCGATACTGATCCTAAAATTGATCCTTATTTCGATCTAATATTTTTTGTATTTGTTTTGTTATTTGTTCATTTTATCCCAAAATAGTTTGGTTTCTTTGCAAATCGGCAAATTTTTACATTTTGAATATTTACCATTTAATTCTGACAAAACATGATTAATGTTAGTAACATATATCAATGAAAATAAAATCAGGATCACTTAATCCTGAGCCTGATCTTTTCTTAGTGAACACGGGGCCAGGTGTTGCTTTAATTTTGTAACACCCAATGTTAAGTTTATCCTGCCAGTATAAGAACATTCCTTTTTACATAATTTGCCCAGCTTAACAGAAAAAGATTTGTTAACATGCATGATAACTCATGTTACAGTTCTGCAAATTATCCTTCCTGGCTGCTTCTGGATTTTCCTGTCAAAGACATAGACACGTATATTACATGAACAGCATAAGATAACACAGTTACTACTTACAGCATTATCTGGATTGCCTTTAAACGCAGATTTTTGATGATCAGCAATAGTTTCAAACAGGAAACCCAGAGCCCATAGTCCCCAGCCTACATAATCTCTTGTACACAAAGGCTTGTCTTCTTTCTTGTTATTCAGCACCATAAGTGGTAGTAGTGTGGTGAAAATCCACATTCCTGTCACCAAAAAAAAGTCTTGAATAATGCAAATATTTTTTTATAAAATTTAAACATCCAGTGCTTATTCATCACAAATAGTTAATAATTCTTTTGTTGTTGGGAGTTGCAATAAACTTAAATAGACTTCACAAAATAGCGATATAACACAATAAAATGTATACTCTGCAAGATGTAAATTTAATATTCTCCTACAGTTCCTAACATCAAGACGCTGGCTAGACATGATACTGAGCATGTTCAATATGTACAAATATGAGCAGCGTCGTGACAAAACCAACAAAATGCATTTGCGACCAGCATGGATCCAGACCAGCCTGCTCATCCGCACAGTCTGATCAGGATCCATGCTGTTCGCTTACAAACTCTATTACAAGTAGAGAAACTGATAACGAATAGCATGGATCCTGATCAGACTGCTCAGATGCGCAGGCCGGTCTAGATCTATGCTGGTCGCAAACGCATTACATTGGTTTTGTCATGACACGGCTTATATGAAGTTGACCAAAGGTGAATGATATAATATCATTTTTCGTGTGGAGGTCCACAAGGCAATGCTACAATAGTAACACTAAATATCTAAGCTCTGAGCACCGTAGTTTCACAAAATGTGTTTTCTTATATAAGATAGTGACTTTATATATAAAATTTACGCCAAAATTCTTCATTATGGCGTATAAAAAGATACCTAACAATATAATACCTTGTACGGTCCAGTAAACCCAGAACAAACCAGGCTTGCCTTTTACTTTATCAAATCTACTGTCCTTTCCTTCCTTTAGAACACGTGTGAAGAGAAATAAGCCTAACCTATAATTTACACAAAATACAAAACAATACACATCTGAATTACTCAATACTTGTTTTTGGAAATAAATTATCTTCAACAAGAAATAATAAAGAGATTTGCATTAAAATTTGCACAGAGTTTTTAGGGATTTTTCAAAAATATACCCAGAATCGAGGATATTTAAATTTTCTATAAATACAGGACTTATTTTCATCAAGTAGTATTAAAATAAACAAGAGGGCCATGATGGCCCTGAGGTCGCTCACCTGTATATAGGCCCCCCAACCCCCCCCCCCCCCCCCCAACGTTGCAGAGCCAATTTAACCCAAGGGCTTTTATTTGCACAAACTTGGTAGACACCCATAAGAAGATGTTTCATGCTAAACATTTAAGCTCTAGCTCATTGGGCTTTTTAAAAGAAGTTTTTTTTAAGTTTTTACTATACACATATAGTTAAAAACAATGACACCCCTGGGGCCGGGCCAGTTTTGTCCCCAGGGCTTTTATTTGAACAATCTTTGTAGACACTTACTAGAAGATGTTTCATGCTTAATATCTAAACTCTAGCTATTTGGTTTTTTTCAAAGAAGATTTAAAGTTTTTGCTAAACACATATAAAGAAAATCAATGACCCCCGGGGCGGGGCCAATTTTGACCCCTGGGCTTGTATTTGAACAAACTTGGTAGAAACTTTTAGAACATGTTTGATGCTCAATATCTTAGCCATAGCTCTTTGAGTTCTTTAAAAGAAGATTTTTTAAGTTTTTACTATATGCATATAGGGAAAATCAATGACCCCCCGGGGCGGGGCCAATTTTCACCCCAGGGCTTTTATTTGGACAAACTTGGTAGACACCCATTAGAACATGTTTCATGCTAAATATCTTAGCTCTAGCTCTTTGGGTTCTTTACAAGAAGATTTTTTAAGTTTTTACTATATGCATATAGGGAAAATCAATGACCCCCGGGGCGGGGCCAATTTTGACCCCAGGGCCTTTATTTTGAACAAACTTGGTAGACACACTAGAAGATGTTTCATGCCAAATATTTAAGCTCTAGCTCTTTGAGTTCTATAAAAGAAGATTTTTAAGTTTTTACTATATGCATATAGGGAAAATCAATGACCCCCGGGGCGGGGCCAATTTTCACCCAAGGGCTTTTATTTGAACAAACTTGGTAGACACCCATTAGAACATGTTTCATGCTAAATATCTAAGCTCTAGCTCTTTGGGTTCTTTAAAAGAAGATTTTTTAAGTTTTTACTATATGCATATAGGTAAAATCAATGACCCCCGGGGCGGGGCCAATTTTGACCCCAGGGCTTTTATTTGAACAAACTTGGTAGACACTCACTAGAAGATGTTTCATGCCAAATATCTAAGCTCTAGCTCTTTTGAGTTCTTTAAAAGAAGATTTTTTAAGTTTTTACTATATGCATATAGGGAAAATCAATGACCCCCGGGGCGGGGCCAATTTTCACCCCAGGGCTTTTATTTGAACAAACTTGGTAGACACCCATTAGAACATGTTTCATGCTAAATATCTTAGCTCTAGCTCTTTGGGTTCTTTACAAGAAGATTTTTTAAGTTTTTACTATATGCATACAATGTATAGGGAAAATCAATGACCCCCCGGGGCGGGGCCAATTTTGACCCCAGGGCTTTTATTTGAACAAACTTGGTAGACACTCACTAGAAGATGTTTCATGCCAAATATCTAAGCTCTAGCTCTTATGGTTTTTTAAAAGAAGATATTTAAAGTTTTTTCTTTCGGTTGCCATGGCAACCAGAGTTCTGCATGGAATTAAATTCTTTGAACAATTTTTAAAGGTGACCACCAAAGGAACATTCCTGTGAAGTTTGGATGAAATTGGCTTAGTGGTTTATGAGGAGATGTCATTTAAAGTAAGTTTACGGACGGACGGACGGACGCCGGACGAAAAGCGATCACAAAAGCTCACCCTGTCACTTTGTGACAGGTGAGCTAAAAAATATGTAATGAGTGGCGATCATGGCAAACTTGAATTTTCTGTTTATTGTATACATTTTTCTCTTTTAAATGTGACATTACAATCTTAAAGACATCTTGTATACTGGATAAACTGAAGAGAAAGTAAGTTGACAGGACATATGTGAAAATATGGAAATTATGTTTCACTGCAATGAAAAATAAATTTATACAGTGAAAATACGAAAAATGAAAAAAAGCATTTTATTGATATTATATTTACAAGTAAAATAATAAATATATATTCTTAACCCCTAGACTATTAATTATGTCTCCCCCACCTCGGGGGGAGACATATTGTTTTTGCCCTGTCCGTCCGTCAGTCCGTCCGTCCGAGCTAACATATGGATACTTATGTGGCTAGAGGGACAATAGGTAACAGTAAATTATCTTTGATCCTATTCATTCCGTAATGCTTTTATGTGGCTATTTTCTTTTGTGTGGCTAAAAAGAACAATAGAGAGAACAATAGAGTAGCCACATTATTACTGTTCCGTTAGAACGTCCGTCAGTCCGTCCGTCCGTCCATTCTTCGTTTCCGGACGATAACTAGAGTTCCTTTTGACCTACAGCCCTCAAACTTCATAGGATGATTGGTCTTATAGAGCTGATGATCCCTATTGTTTTTGGGGTCAGTAGGTCAAAGGTCAAGGTCACACTGACCGTTGGTCAATTTCTCGTTTCCGGATGATAACTAGAGTTCCTTTAGACCTACAGACCTCAAACTTCATAGGATGATTGGTCTTATTGAGCAGATGATCCCTATTGTTTTTGGGGTCAGTAGTTCAAAGGTCAAGGTCACAGTGACCGTTGGTCAATTTCTCGTTTCGGATGATAACTAGAGTTCCTTTTGACCTACAGCCCTCAAACTTCATAGGATGATTGGTCTTATAGAGCAGATGATCCCTATTGTTTTTGGGGTCAGTAGGTCAAAGGTCAAGGTCACAGTGACCGTTGGTCAATTTCTCATTTCCGGATGATAACTAGAGTTCCTTTTGACCTACAGCCCTCAAACTTCATAGGATGAATTGGTCTTATTAATCAAATGATCCCTATTGTTTTAATGGTCAGTAGGTCAAAGGTCAAGGTCACAGCGACGACCGTTGGTTAATTTCTCCTTTCCGGATGATAACTAGAGTTCCTTTAGACCTACAACCCTCAAACTTCATAGGATGATTGGTCTTATTGAGCAGATGATCCCTCTTGTTTATGGGGTCAGTAGGTCAAAGGTTAAGGTCACAGTGACCATTGGTCATTTTCTCATTTCCGGATGATAACTAGAGTTCTTATCAGTGAGGACATTTAACTATTATTGATATATCAGTGATATATCAGTTGTCTGGTTTTATATACTCTGTTCTTTTTTGATCTTTCCACCCTTATGCGGTCATTTCTTCCCCGCTGCGCGTTCCATAGACAGCCTTCATTGAAGTGACTACCGGGTATTTACATTATCTTATCTCCATTTCCATTCCTGTTTCCATTCACAGTTATTCTCAGCAGTGGGGGAGACATGCGCTTTTTTACAAAAGCATCCTCTAGTTTTATGTTCTTTTTACAAAAAAATGTACATGTAAGCCAGGTAAAGTTAAATATTCAATAAATTTTCTTTTAAACTTTCTACGTCAGTAATAAATTATACTTAAAGCGTGCTATATACCTTGCAGCCCATGTCATTACTAATCCTGTAGTCACTTTCTGTCGGGGGTAGTATGTCCCGCCCCATTTCAATGTTTGATATGCCAAATAAAGAAATGTCCCTGAACCTGTTCAATTACATAATAATTCATAGTATAAATTTATCAAATATTATATAACAAGATACATGTGGTAGCAACCTATTATTATAACTTTATAAGTTATAATGATTTATATATTATAACAATGTTCAAAGTGAGAAAGTTCCACATCAGTAAAGTTGATGAATTTATTAAATTATTTTTCCAATATTTTACATCATATAATTATTTTACAAAATCCAATAATCACAACTTCAAATTTATAATGAAAAAATATTATCACATATCTACTAATTTTTGTAAAAGTCTAATAAGTATAGTAATTGTTATTTATTGAAATAAAAGGTAACTCCTTAAGTACATATAATTGGTCTAGTGCACTTCAAGGTGCACTTATGAAGTGCACTTCAAAGTGCACATCTAGTGCACTCTAAGTGCACTTTGTGTAACCTTAAGTGTGAACTCAACTGTATATTACAATTAATTTAAAGACATGTGAACCAAACTGACAATGACAATGACAATTTATTTATTGATATTGGCCACTGGCCCATTACAACAATATATACATTTAGATATAATTTCTTGACTGGTGTCAGTACAGATCGATGTAATTCCTAATAATGTTTATATTGAAACACACAGAACTATTGTTGAAAAATTTACCAAAATGCGTGTCGATCTTAACGAAAAACAAAACATAAGATCTTCACTTATGGCTATTCAGTGCAAAATAAGGAAAACATACTATAGCCTTAACATAAAAGGCAATAGTGTTTTGATCAGTCTTAAGCTTTGTACAACATTGCCCGAAATGAAAAGTAAATCCATATATCTCATCACTGTACAAACGTATTCAAAATTGAAAACAACAAACTAAACAATACCTAAAAGTAACATTCATGATATCATAAGCATATTCTCAAATATTTTATAATAATAATTTCAAATTTAAGTATCTGTGTTATAACATACAAAATGATTCCAAGAATGTGATCTCAACAATATAGTAAGTATATCCTAATGATTTCTAACTGTCAGTATCTGTATTACTTAATATCTCATTTCTCTCTTTGAATGCATAATATGCATACATAGCTAAATTTGTTATAACATTATCAGAGCGAGAGCACATTAGAACATTAAATTTATGATTATTAGGATTATTAAAGAATTTTTTGTCAATGTATTTTTCTCTAATCAAAGACAATTTTTTACAAACTAAAACAAAATGATATTCATTTCCAATTGCTTCGTGACATAATTTACATATCCTTTGTTCTCTTAAAATATTCTGGTATCTACCTTTTTCAATTTCTAAATCATGGGAGGACAACCGAAGTTTGGCAAGAGCATTTCTGAATTTTCTAATTGTCACTACTGTTAAGTAATATTCATGTTCGATATTGCATTTAAACTGTCTATACGCATACAATTTAGAACTATCATTTATAATTGTTTGCCATTCTTGTAGATATTGGTCCTTTAATTTTTGTACAAAAGAATTTATGAAATAGTCTTCATTATTGACTGTTTGATTATACCAAATGTAGCCAAAACCATTTTTACATAATAAATTACGAATACCAGTACACCAATTAGTTTGCCCTGTACTATCCAAAAACAACTGCATAAAATAGCATTTTTTAACTAATCTGTGTTCACCCATTTTAAGTATTTTACACCAATATCTTACAGCTCTTTTAGCAGAATTGATGAATTAATTAAACCAAACTTGCATATAGTATTTAAAGTATTACAGTTTCTGAACAAGATACTAAATAAGATAAAAGGCACTAAATGATCAGAACCTTTTAAGGTGGAGCAAATCGTCACTATCTAAAGCGAATTGTCACTACTGTGGGGCGAATCATTATCAATTCACTATAAACACCTAATGGTCAGTCCCTTTACCCCTCTCTCACCTCTATATGTGCATATGGTGGAAAGGCACAGAAGCTTGGCAAAAGATTTGATAAACATGGGATGGCAATAAATTAACAAGCTGTTGTCCGGACTGAAGCCAAAGGGAATGACTCTACAAAGTAGGCTGGGACTAAAAGGAAGGGTTACTAGGGGGTGAGCCCCCTTTAGAATTATGAAAACAACATAATTGTACAGTTTATAAATTAAATAGAAACATTTCAATAGATTATTTTTTAGCTTTACGTTGAAACAGTGCAGGCAGTGATTAAATTCTAAGATCAAAGACACTTTAAATCATTTAGGATATGATTTTGGGTGACTGATATGTCAATCAGTTTATAGAGAAGTCACATTTGTGGTACAATATTTAACATTTCTGGTAGTAGATAAGGGTTAAGGTGGGGCAGGTTCTGAATCTGATCAGGTATACTCATTAAAAATTTTACGGTAAATATATATATGTATATGAATTAAAATGGCATCAATATCAGATAAAGATTCACCACCAGTTCAGTCATTTCAATAATAATCATGACACATACAGGGCTCTCTCTCTCTCTCTCTGTTGTTTTTTGGAGGGGGGGCTAATTTCATATCAATGTTTCGACTGTAAAACCGACTTTGCAAACTTAAATAACATAGATGTTGGTCTTAAGAGTAATGGGCGACCATCGTCTATATAATAGAAAGGTCTGGAGCACAATTTGTTGGGCTAGACGGGATGGTACCTGTACCTGAAGGAGGTGGAATTTTCATGTTCAGACATAATTGTCTGATAGTGACAATACTCATGTTATATATTAATTCTTATTTCATTTTGCAAAAAGCAAATTTCAATAGGATATTGTTAACTGCATTTGACAGATATTGGTAGGTATAAATTTTCAATATAGTTTACATGTAGCTGTGATTTTTAAATTTACAAGTTAATTGAGTAAATGTAATTACATTATTATTTTATCAGTCATGGAATATATCTACTGGTCAGAGAGATAACTCCGACGCATAGATAACCCCGACACTTGATAAGTATAATTGTTATAGCTTTGTTTTTCAACAAACAAGCACATGATCACCTAATAGTATAGGAACAGGACAGAATGTGATGCTTTATTATAATTTGGTAAACTTTTTAATGTTTTTCAAATAACCTAAACTTTTTGTAGGCAAAAACTGCTTCAAAACGTTCTTTTTACTAAATTACAATAAGGTACAGTCATGTCCGGTCATCTTGCGCGGCCGGTGACCTTGCGCACTCGGCACCGGAAGTATATTTCCTTTTGTTTGGTTGTTTGTTTATGCTTTTTCTAGAAATTTTCAGCCAAAACTTGTGACTTGGACTTAAACAAGGTAAGAAACTTTAAAAAAAATCTGTCAAACATGTTTGTTTACATTATTCCGTCATCCTTATTATTTATTCATAAACACGCCCACTGACCTATTTTCCCATGATATTCCTGTCTATTCATCCAGTTTCAAAATTTTACGTCCAGCAAGAATGAAAATCAATATCACACATTTAAAAACAGTATTGCACTGATAAAACGTTGTAAATTTCCTTTTTTCCCTTTTGCAAATAAAGGTGCATTGGGTTGTTATCTCCTGCCTGTCAAAATGGAAAGCCCCTCCCGCGCTTTTCAATTCTTTTTCTACTCAAGCGTAAAAGGTAAGAGCATTAAATTTGTTAACTGGGAGTGTTGTACTGTGTGTAGTCAATGGGTGCATCTGAAATTATGTACAGAAATTGAGACATTGACTGGTAGTGATGATTCCAGGTGTCCAAGGTGTAGTAGTGAACAGTAAAATAACAAACCCTTGATGTAAATAAGTTTGTGTTAAGTTTTGTTTGAACAGTTTGAACAGTTTAAATTAACTGTTCATTCCTTGGACTCACAAAATTTATATTGATAGTACTACTTGGACACTATACTTTCAAAACGAGCTACCGTGACGTAATTCATAACACATGCGCAAGATCACCGGACAATTGAATGTTGGGATTAAACATGGTGGTAAGTGTTTACATTGTTGCACTTATGCAGTTCATTGAGTTATTTCCAAAAAATATTGGTGTCATTATATGTCTTTAAGATTTTTGTAAATAGGAAAATAATTGTGATTTTTTTGTATTTATTTGAATCATAGTAAATTAGCCGATAAGTGCTTAGGTGCGCCAGATTACCGGACAGCATCGTAGTTAGAAATGTATTGACCACAGGCCACTGACTTGGAAAAGATTGTTAAAAAATTGTTTAAATATTTACAAAAAATAGATAAACCATATAATATGTATAGATTAATTATTGATGCAGATTTTCCAGTCATTTTTTACTTAAAAATTTAAGTGTCGACTTTATCTACTGTTGTGGGGTAAAAAGACTATGTTTTGTATACCTCATTCAAGACCTTAAAGAAGTACCAGATTCCATTTCCATACATAATTTTTGTAGTGTAATGTAAAGTCTTTGAACTGAACTTTGTTTAGGTGGTTCAATATTTAAAATATACTGGAAGATAATTAAAATATTGCAAAAAATATGTGATTTAGTGTCGGAGTTATCTCTCCAACCAGTACAGCTTTAACTGACTAATAAGTGAATTATGTAACAAATGCAAATACCCGCTAAATCGTAAAATTTCTCAGTTTTTAACGCAGAAGCAACAGCCCAAAGCGCCCATTGCACACCAAAATCAATTACAGCTGCTTTCCCAAATGAGTTGCCCATGACGGCCTCTAGATAGTCCATGTGTGGACTTTGTACATAAATCTTGACGTAACGCTAATGTCCTACTTTTTGATACTTTCATTTTAGGAATATATCCGAAGCAACCCGTATATTCATCCGCGACTTCCCGGCTCTTTCCGTCAAACTTCGGCAAAAGTACAACGAAAGTGACGATATAAGACGGAAATGGCCGAGAAGTTGCGTCGTAAATCAACAACTACAACAATGGCAGATTCAGGAGAACCAACATCAAAATCAAAGTGCGCACAGCACTGAATGCGACGGACATGCAACCGGAGAGACATTATGGCTTTTTTTAGAAAAAAAAACAACACAAAAGATATAACAGAGAAAATTTGTTCCATACAAGTTCGAGATTTGTAGAGCAATATATTAAATATGTGTCCCATTCTGATATAATTCAGATTTTCTACTTTCAAGCAGAACAAGTCCAAATTTTTAAATACAGAATGAAATTTATGCCAAAAAACTCTGGTCAAACTTGTAAATCAGTGTCCTTATCGATTTATTCCAAGAAATGATATGTAAATAGAAAAAAAACTGTCTAAAATAAAACCATGCAAATAAACTTCAATCATAATACATAATACATGTGAGAATGTTAATTAGAATTGCTGCGTGTTATATATATCATAGTGGGCATGTAGACAATAAAATATAAGTCATTTGTATTTTTATTTCTCTTGGATATGCCTCATTAAAAATATTTTTGGTTAAAATCATCAGCAATTAATGGTGTATTTTTTTTAGATTTTTTTTTTCATTTTCAATTTCACACTAAATTCCATTTTCAACTTGTTTGCTTCTTACAATTGTATAGAATTTCATGAAGTATTGCATGTAAACAAAGTAAGTATCCGCTGGTTTATTACATGCACTAATCGCCTGTCCGAAAATCAGCACAGGTGCAGCAGAATCTATTTTTAGAATAGTGTTATCTTCTGTAGCAGGTTAACTCATATCGTGACCTAGAAAAATATGTAAACAAACCACAAGAATCGGAAGTAGAACTGATATTATAACTTCCTTCATGAAAGACTACATGGTGGTAAAGTGTTGAAAAGCCCTCTTAATTGTTACATGCATTTTCAAAAATAGATATTTAAACTAACCATTGTACTGTATCTTATTTAGTAATAACTGCTGAATATTCAGCTAAACCCGCGTTATGAGTCACGAAAATAGTTCTTCTTTTATTAATGCGCGAGTTATTCTAGAGTCACGAAAAACTTTTGATTTGTTAATAATAATGTTTTGTATAATGTAGAAATATTTATTTCCTACTAATAATTTCTTGGAACTCAGAGCTTACACCTTTATTATAGTATAATTTGCTGTCCTACTTTTTCGACAGCGGTAAATCGTTTCGGCAGTAATTTGCATATTGCGCAATAATACTACGGGACAACAACGTTTTTATCAATCATTTACGTTCATATTTTAACTTGGATAACTTAATTTGAAATTGAAAAGGCTAAATATGGAAGATTTTAAGATATCCCGACAAAGTATGGGAGTTTTAAAGGATAAAGTTCATGTACTTTTTCTTGGGCTGTTAATCGGTTGAGGACACTTTGCGCGATTGTAGCAGACGAAATCCCATGTGTAGATGACTTAGCTCTGAACGCGCCTGAGGGCGCGTCCGTCGCAAAAATGTGACTTCTTGTCCCTAGAACCAGGGACCCTCCATATTCCATTTTGTGGCTCTATCGACTGAGTTATCTGGCCACTTACGCATCTTCTCCCCAATATAAGGAACTACTGTTGCACAGAGGTGACATTTGTGCGTTTTATTTATCTTGTGTGCACGAGATACTATATGTTGTAATCACAAGTTACTATGACATGTGCACGAGATACTATGTAGTGCACATGAGTTACTGAGTTGTGCGCATGAGATAATAAAGTGGTGCACACAAGATACTATTTGGTGCACACAAGTTACTAAGTCGTGGCCAAGAGTGCGCACTACTTAATAACTCTAAGTCCAACTAATACACCCATCGACAGTCTCTATATGAACTACGTAAATAACCGAGGTATATCGAGTGAAAAAACACAAGTTGTTTCCCTTATCTTCGAGTAAAATCGATATCTCTGTCGCTATTCTGGTATTGAAAGAGAAAATAGAACATGCTCACTTTGTAATCAGCAAGAAATAGGTGATGAATTTCATTATATTTTTAAATGTACTTATTTTAATCATGAAAGACACAGGTATATCAGTAACTATTATTCAAGGTTTCCTAGTATTTTAAATTTTCAGGCTCTTATGTGTAGCGACAACAGAAATACTTTATTTAATCTAGTTTTTTTTGTCAAAGCTATAATGCTGAAATTTCAATAAGTCATCTTCCTTATTTACTTATTTACTTCATGCCATGTTTGTATTATTATTTTTTGTTTTGTTGATTGTTCACTCTTATGCCCTTAAGGGCCATGAGTTTTGTTTATAAATAAAAAATAAATAAAAAAACTAAAACTAAAACAATGCAAATTTAGCTGTTTTTAAACTGCTAGTTTTGGGCCATTTAATGTCCGATTTTAAAATTTATTACACCAATTAAAGCTTAAGATCTTATCTTTGTCTCAGTGTATATTTCAACACATTGTTTGACACTGAAGGTATTTAAATTTACGGTTAAACCTACCACAAGTCAGACCATTTTACATAGGTTTTATACAGTGAGATATGCAATCGTTTATCTTTACTACTGATAAGAATAGCCTGTCGTCTGCTAGTTCGGAAACTGTCAATCCGTACTGCCCGACGAGATACTGTGCTATTTTCGTGTGTGGGCAATATCTTGCCTCTACAAGCGAGATTCTTCCCAAGAATGAAAATATCTCGGAGTTAAGCTTTGGCACGTCAATATATATGTTGACTAAGTAACTCTGGGCCACAACATATATGTAGTATCTTGTGCACAAGAGATAAATTAGAATGCACAAATGTCACCTTTCTTCCACCTTAGTGAACACTTCTTAATGTCACCAGTGACAGTCACATTACAATCAATAATAAATAACTTACCCATATTATCCTTTTAATTTACAAATGTCACCTCTGTGCCACCGTAGTGAACAGTGCTGACCCATAACATTACAATCAATAATAAATAACTTATCCATGTTAAGCTTTTAATTTACTCCTGAAGCTTTACTTAAGGATGTGTTTCTCTTCAAAACGTTTCCACGTTCGTTTACATGTTTAAACAATTTGTACTTTATTTGCAGTTAACATGTATAATATACCTGTGTAAACAAAACAGTAAATAGTGCAAAATTAATGATTAAAAAAAAAGCAATAGCACAGAGATGATTTTTTTCTTTCAGAAAGCAAAGTTATTCAAGCTACATCCTAATGTTCTGAGGAATTGATATTGGTTCTGGCTGAACATTTTTTCTCCAAGTTGATTGTTTCACCAAACTATTTATATGACATAAGTACTGTATATGGTACAAGAAAAGGGTGTCCATGTGATAATCATGAAGATGTGATTGGCAAACCTGGTGACACTAGCTTTGGTAAGCTACAATAATGTTGTTTCTTGGTTATTTTAAATTAGTCAATTTTGCTCTCCTTGGATGATGGGTTTATATTGTTTATCAAGGGTCAAGACAGTCTTTCGCGTTTGTCTATTAAACTCATGTTGATTTACCTTAGAAGGGGCATTTTAACCCTTGGAATTTTCTTTTCAATAGCTGTAAATAATTAGTAGAATGAAGCTAATACAAACACTGTAAGTTTGATGGAGTCTTTCTGAGTTGTAAATGTGGTTATATCTAGGTTTTCTCAGACCAAATGTCAAGGCCACAGTGACCCTGTATGTGAAATTTTGTTTCAGAATGCCTAGACATAAAGCAAGTTGAGTGTTACCATTGATTTTGAAGTCTTTAGGTTTTTAGGTGATTGACATAGCGAATAAGTGCCTGAGAGTAGTCTAGGGTGCTGTCCCTACTGACAGTTCTTGTTAACTTATGCATGCTTTCTCATGAAAAAAAACAACAACAACATGGTTGATTGAGTTGGCTTGATATTACTTCTAAAAATATGCTGGGTACTCTACATCTGGTAACATATTGTACAAGTGACTTCATTTCATTCCAATTTATTGTGTGATTCTTTGATTTTCAGGCTGGGAACAGGGCTGGCATGGCAGCTCTGACATACTGATTGCAGATCTGCCAGTCATCAAAGTGAATGTAGTTGAAGATGGGACAGTCCTAAATCATGCATCATCTTCCAGTTCATTTAAATCTTCTTCATCATTTGATACAGATACTGAATCTTTAATTCATGGTATTAAGGAGAAAAATAAGGGGTGCATTTCAAAGACAGAACTTCGTAGAGTATTTGCTGAGACAATAACCTTTTCCTTTCTAAAGAATAAGGAAAAGAAAGGAGTCACTCTCATTCCCACAGTGGCAGTTGATAAAAATTATGTTTCAGTAAATATGTATGATTCAGAATTGGATGTATTTCTCCAAGGAGGTCCCATTCCATTGTTTTCTGAGAACACTAAACTTCTAAATACATCGGCAGTTATTGCAATTTGGATGGCACTGAACTACAAAGCTGGTTTACATGGGCAGATTGACGTTGATAAATACAAAGCAGAGGTGAAAGCTCCATGTACAAAAACTATTGAAGAACCAGATGATTGGTTGATGGAGCGTGACTGGTTGTTATGAATAATTTAAAAAATGGCAGATGATTGGTTGATGGATCGCGACTGGTTGTTATGAATAATTTAAACATGGCAGATGATTGGTTGATGGGGCGTGACTGGTTGTTATGAATAATTTAAAAATGGCAGATGATTGGTTGATGGACCGCAACTGGTTGTTATGAATAATTTAAACATGGCAGATGATTGGTTAATGGACCGTGACTGGTTGTTATGAGTAATTTATACTTGGGCCCCATTTTTGTTGGGGTATCTATTTAAAGAGCTTTCAAGATTACACAGATGCTTGGATGTTTGCAATTGAGACAAAACATAATATTTGTTAGTCCAAAGATCATGATTTGCATCTACATGTATACTAATTAAAATTTCTAACAATTTTTCAATTATTTGTTAACCTTTGTGAAAACTCATTTTAAGAAGAATGTAGATGAAAATAAAGTTTTTAATATTTGTTGTCTTTGGTAAACATGTTAAGACAATTGAATTTTGATTCAAGATCAAATATATTTTTTAGCTCACCTTAGCACAAAGTGCTAGGAGGTGAGCTTTTGTGATGACAGTGTGTTCGTTGTTGTATACAATTGCTTTAAACAACATCTCCTCCCAAATCACTTGATGGATATTAACCAAACTTCACAGGAATGATCTATTTATGGTCCCCCACAAAAGTTAAATAAATACATATGTAGTTCTGGTCTGATGCATAAGTAGGTCATATGACCTAAAAACTAGCTTTAGAAATAAAATCATTAAAAATTTTCTCATAAAAATTACAAGGAGAGCAATAGAGCTTAGATATTTGGCATGTAGCATCACTTTGTGGTCATCTATATATATTTTTACATAATAAGCCCAAGGGGTCACTTAGTTTACATAGGCTTATATAGAAATATACGTTTAAGTCTTCTTTAACAACTAATTCTATCATTCTATACTGATTAAAGACGTTTTCGGGAGTTTTCATTTAGACATATATGGTCAAAATTAAAACTGTTCTATAGAATTTCTTTAAACTTGGCAGGTTGTTAGAATATGATAACAGAAACATTTTAAGCAAAAAAAAAAATTGGGGTCAGTTTACTCCTTTTTGAGTTATCTGCCCCTGTATCAGAATTTTCTACTTATTTTAGGTCATTTAAAGGGCAGATAACTTATACATACGTAAATGAATTCTTTTTCGTTTTTACTTCTGAATAATGTTTTTCATTTTATTGTTGAATAATTACATGCAATTCCTTATATCATTTCTGTTAATTTTTTTCAATGAAAATAAAGGTACTTTAAATAAGTGAAAAATAGGCCAATTTTTAAGAAAAAGTGCACAGGTTAAGAGAAGAATTTGGAATAAAAACATCCACTCTAAATTTCTTCTTGAAATTTTGCATATTGCTAAGACGAAGGTAAGCTTCATGAAAATAAGAAGGAAAAGGGTATTTTTTTGCTTCATTGTAAATTATCTGCCCTTGAATTTAACGAAAAAGTCCAATTCAAGGGCAGATAACTCGAAAATGAGAACGGGGACCCCAAATTTTTTTTCGTTTAAAATGTATCTGTTACCATATTCTTATAACATGCCAAGTTTAAAGAAATTCTATTGAACAGTTTTAATTTTGCCTATATGTCTATATGAAAACTCCGGAAAACGTCTTTAAAATACATGTATAAATTATTTTATTTTATGAAAAATTGGGTTTTATCGTGAAATAAAATCCATAACACACATAGCATAACACCTAAGACAATTTTATAGTAGAAAAAATGTATATCTGTTCAATTATATTACACCAGGGACTTAAGATGTCCTAGATTTCACTTTAGAAATCGTGATAATGCATTTATAATTATTAAAAAAATCGTTGTATACAGATAACATCATTAAAATTCAACACTTCATCTGTAATTTTATTAAATGAAAAGGCACATTAAGAAATAAAACAAACAGATATTTGTTTTGAACATGTGGAAACTATTCTTAAAAAGAACCTCTCATTGTGTACAAATTATTTTGTACATAATATTAATTAATCGTACAATTGTTACCATGTACATATATTGTTAAGAACTTAAGACATTGAATCGTTGTGCCAGGAATTAAATTCAGCTACTAGTGCAAGTACTTTGTCATTACTTTGAACGAAACGCCGTATAGTGATATGTATACAACAACTTTGAAGTAGATTAAATATGGATGTATCACACAGAAGACGGGTTCTACAATCCATGTTTCTGTTGTGGGCATTTGTAGGATTGGTAAGCCAACAAAATAGCTCTACATTTTCTATTTTATTGAGTAATATTAGAAATAATATAAGTATACATATAATAGAAGGTTTGTGCACCTTCGGATTTTTTTAAGCCCTTCTCCTTGCGGACTTGCTTGTACGTAAATGCGTTCCTGTGTTTCTGGAGATAATTAGATGTTATTGCACGAAAAATATGTGCATTAGCACACTTCTTGCATAAAAGTTTACTTTGATTCGATTAATCTAGGATACCTAAATAAACTGGTTATGCCATGCTTTTCACGTGCAAGTGCGATGTTAGATGACATTTATAAATACAGGGGGCATTCTGACAGTGTCAGCATTTTTTACATGGAATCCTGAGTCACGTATAAAATTAGCAGAAAACCAGCAACAATTACGGCGCAAAATCGCGTGATTTTATTTGTATAGCAAAATTTCTTCCATGTTAATGCAGGATTTCTTC